AGACTATCGCTTGACTTACATACATTCACATTTCTTTTTTTAAATTTTTTTTTTCAACGTTTATTTATTTTTGGGACAGAGAGAGACAGAGCATGAACGGGGGAGGGGCAGAGAGAGAGGGAGACACAGAATCGGAAACAGGCTCCAGGCTCTGAGCCATCAGCCCAGAGCCTGACGCGGGGCTCGAACTCCCCGACTGTGAGATCATGACCTGGCTGAAGTCGGATGCCCAACGGACTGCGCCACCCAGGCGCCCCTATACATTCACATTTCAAACACAGTTCCAAAGCATATCGAGTAAGGAATTGCCTACAGTCTCAAATTGCTTGACCAGCACTGATGTACTCCTAGAAGTTTAAATAGGGAACAGATAGCAAGGTATAGAGATCTCTAGGAAGGAAGGAAGGAAGGAAGGAAGGAAGGAAGGAAGGAAGGAAGGAAGGAAGGAAGAAAGGAAGAAAGAAAGAAAGAAAGAAAGAAAGAAAGAAAGAAAGAAAGAAAGAAAGAAAGAAAGAAAGAAAAGGAGAAAAAGAAGACAGTTTTTAGTTCCACAGTTAACCATGACCTTCACCAAAATATTTTCTAGGCCTGTTTACTCATCTGAAAAAGGTAATTCTCAGTTCCAAAATGTCAATAGAAAGGGGAAAACAAAGAACAGCATAAAAATGAAGAAAGGTCAAGTCTTCCCTGGTCATCTCCTCCTTATTCTTAAATCACTGCATCCCTGCCCCAAACTCAGTCACTACCTCCTGAGCACCGTCAAGGCCTTCAGCTCAGACCACTGCTTCACCCTCAGCACACTGTCATTCATCTGTTCCCCCATCTTAGACAGTAATTGACCTCATCTCCCAACGTTGGGGAGCTGGCGGTTGGAAGGGTCTCAACAACACAGAACCAGTTCAGAGGATCCTGTGAAGAGTGGGACCGTTCACTCTGCTCAAGGCACTAAGGGACACTTAGAGGCAGGGCTCAAAGTAATATGGGTGAGTTCTCTGAGAGCAGCGAGATTTTAGTGCAGTATGCCATCACTCTATACTCACTACACCCCTGGGTGGTGGGTGCTGTGTTCTTATTTTTAAGACGAGGCACCTAAAGCTTATAGAAACTCGCCCAATGCCATTCAACTTTTAAGAGGCATTGCTTGAATTCGAACTCAGGCCAAAAATGTATGAGTTGTCCCCAGATTTGTTAGAGAGAGATCCGGTTCGGCGCCCAGGAGGGAGGCCCGGTCAGGAGAAAAGCTGAGACCCCCGCGGCAGGTGGCAGAGGCAGGAGGGGGAGGCTGCAGGAACCTCGGAGACACGCCCACGCGCCGGCCTTAAAGCAGGGGTCGCCTTAAGGAAGGGGGGCTTTTTCTCACCCGACAAAAAATAACTCCCCAACTGGGAGGGGGTTCCGTCCGAGTGCCACCCGCGGAAGGCGGAAGGCTAGGCAGATGGACGAGGACCAGGCCGCTCGGCGGAGATCAGAGGAGGAGGGTTTGGAGAGAGGAGAGGAGACAGCGGGGGAAGGCCAGCCGTCTCGGGCTTGGGACAACCGGGTGGAATGGGACCAGCAAGACCTGTTGATGGGGCTGAGCGGCCGGGAGAGCCGGGAGGCTGCGGGCCCCGAGGAGGCGGCGGAGCCGGAGCCGGAGTCGGGGGTACCGGGCGGCCGGAGGGGAGAGGGGAGGGCGGGCTGGGAGCCCGCCGGGCCAGGGGGCGGGGAAAGGGCGGCCCCCGAGGGAGGGGTGGCAGCGGGTCTGGAGGGAGGGAGGGGCGGAGAGGGGCGGGGAGAGCAGGACCAGACCGACGGGGAGGGGCCGGCCGGGGAGAGCAGGAGTAGAAGCGAGGCTCGGCCGCAGGCGGGGAGCCAGGGCGCCCCGGGGTCCTGCACGCTCCGGGGAGGGTACTGGGAGGGCTCCCGGGAGCGCCACCGGGAGAGGAAGGTGAAGCGCAGGGCGAAGGGCACGAAGCAGGTCGAGAGTAAGTACCGGCTGGAGAAGAAGCCCGACCTCCCGCAGGAGCGGAGGCAGGCGGAGACCCAGAAGAACGTGGTCTTGAAGGGGGAGACGAGCGAAGCCTGCCCCTGCTGGTTGTCGGAGCAGCGACGACGGCTGCCCACCATCCAAATCAGCCTCTCCCCCAAACCTCGCCGCCAGTCGCAGTGGTCCTCTCTCTGCCACACCTCGGTCAGTGTCATTAACGAGCTGGCGCAGATGGGCGACCCAGACGTCCTGGAAATGGTGCAGGAGGAAGGTAGGAGCCGGCGGACTCGGTGGCGCGGGGGAAGGGCGGCCCCGGGCGCGGGGACCCCGGGGGACGTTGGCGGCCCTGCGGCCTGGATCCCGGGGACGTTCTCGGGGTGGCGTGCTCTGCGCGAGACAGGGGCTGCAAGATGAACAGCCCCTGCCCCAGCGGGTGGCTGGGTGACGGCGCGCTGTGTTTCCTCTGCTACTCGCGCGAGCCGGGGACCTGTGTCCTGTGACCCCTGCGATTCTGAGGCCGCCCTCCTCGCTCCTGTGTGCGCCGCCGAGCGGTTGACTAATGCAGGGAGCGAGGCGAGCGCGCTGGCCGTGTGCGCTCAGGCGCTCCGGCCTCGGACTCCCACGGAGAGCCGCAGCTTGGGGTGCGTGACGGCGGTGCCATGGGTGGGGGAGCTGGCCCCTGAGTCCCTCTGCCTCTCTCCATTTGCCGATTACTGGCCAAGCTTTGAGATCCCTGTTAATTATGCGAGCGCCAGGCTCTAAGATCGCTCAGTTTGGGATTCTGGTGCACCTGGGAACGCTGCTGTTTCACCAGCTTTCATGCAATCTTTAGTTCCGTGGAGAAATGTCTGTTCATTGTTTGCCAAGGCCGTTGCACAGACCTATGTTCTGTGGGTCTGTTTTGGTACACACATGTTCCTGAGAATGCACGTATGTTTCTGGGACTATCTCCAGGACTCTCAGCGATACTCCGTTCCCTCCGCGACACTCTGTTTTCATGTCTTGTGTGGTATTAGATTTAAACATGGCAACAGTGTTTTTAGGCGATAAAAGGTCAAAGTAGTCTTATGATCCAGTCTTGAGAGGCGCTAGGAAATGGAACGCGTTACTGCATCCTCCTCTCTCTTCTAAACAGCTTTATTGAGGTACACTTTAGATACCATGTCACCCGTTTAAAGTGTGCAATTCAGTGCCTTTTAGTGTATTTACAGAGTTTTGCAATCATCACCACGATGTAATTTTCATCACCATAAAATAGAAACCTTAGCAGTCACACCCCCATTGTCTACCCTTAGTTACTAATTTATTTACCCTGCAGATGTACCTATTCTGGAAACTTCCTGTAAACTGACTCCTACAATATGTGGTCTTTGGTAACTGTCTTCTTTCTCTTACCGTAACGTTTTTGAAGTTCATCCGTGTTGTAATTCGCATGCTTCCTTTTTATTGCCACCTAATACTCCATTGTTAGAGATAAACCACATTTCATCCAGTCATCAATTGGTGGACATATGGGTTGTTGCCAGTTTTCACTGCCACGAATAATGCTGCTCTGAACATCCATGTACAGATTTTTGTATGAACGGCTTTTCGTTTTTCTTGGGTATATCCCTAGGAATGGAATTACATGATCATATGGCAGCTTTACATTAAACACTTTTGAGAAACTGCCAAACTGTTTTCCAAGTGTCTGTGGCATTTTATATCGCAATCAACAATATGTAAATATTGCAGTGTCTCTACATCCTCGCTAACATTTGTTATTGTCTATCTTTTTTATTTATAGCCATCTAGTGGTTGGAAGTGGTTTATCTGTGTGGTTTTGACTTGCATTTTCCCAGTGATTTCCCAATCAAATATCTTTCCCACGGCTTATTGGCCATTCATATATCTTCTTTGGTGAAATACACATTTAAGTCCTTTGCTCATTTTAAAAGTTAAATCATTTGTCTTATTATTGCGTTGTAAGAGTTCTTTACATATTCTGTATATATGATTTGCAAATATTTTCTCCCATTCTATGAGTTGTCTTTCCCTGTTCTTGATGGTGTCACTTAAAGCAATTCCCCCTTTCTTAAAAAACAATTGAAGGTAGAAGGAAATATGACTATTGAAAACTTTAAACTTTGCCTAATGGCTCTGCTAAATGATACAGTGAATTTATTTGTTAGTGAAAATGAGTGGTTCAGTGTACAAAGTGAAATGACTTTTAGGTGTCTAAAATTAAAAGCCCTTTTCTATACTTAATGGTTTCCTCCGTTGCCGAGAATTACTTTTCAGTTGTAATTTCAATAATCTGAAGGTGTAAATAGATTTTTTTCCACTTGAAACATTCAGTAATTCTTTATAATCAGTCCTTCTAAAGTAGAGTTATGAGAAGGTACAGAAATAGTATTTCTCATTGAGGGAAGAGAGGAAGGAAAAATGTGGAGTATGTAACTTTCTGTGCATAATGAAGAAAAAAAATCTACCAGTGCGGCATTACAGACATTGACCGTTATTCTTTTTCAGATATTAGAAGTGTGATCTAATTTAGCCGCCGGATAATTCTGCTTACTAGAATGTATAGTTAAATTAGTATAACTTCAGCCGTGAGGTCAGATTGCAGCTTGCGTCCATCTAAGGAAGATTAAAAAAAAATTTTTTAATGTTTATTTATTTTTGACAGAGAGAGAGAGAGAGAGAGAGAGACAGAGCATGGGTGGGGGAGGGGCAGAGAGAGAGAGGGAGACACAGAATCCGAAGTAGGCTCCAGGCTCTGAGATGTCAGCACAGAGCCCAATGTGGGGCTTGAACCCACAGACTGTGAGATCATGACCTGGGCCGAAGTCGGATGGTCAACCGACTGAGCCACCCAGGTGCCCCTATCTCAGGAAGATTTTAGAACTTTTCCCAAACTAATTTGTTTTCCCTTTACCTGGCAAAGACCTTTGTAACTTGTCTATATTCCCTCTTACTGTGATTGAAGCTTTGCCTCTGTTTTGGGCCTAGGTAGCGGAAAGGAGGTTGATATGGAACACCATGTATCTGATGGATGAGGGTGATGACCACATCCAGCCCAAGTTCCCGTTCCTGATTTGTTCATAGATCCAGCATCCAAACAGGGGAGGAGCGGGGTACTGGTGAGAGTAAAGCCTGAGGCTACTCAGAGGACTCTTAGTTTTCTAAAAGTTTTTTCAATATGTCAGTTGTTTTGCTGTGTTGGTTTTACTGCCCGTTACTGAGACCTGTGTTATTACTGTAGTTGTATGAAAAGTGCATTAAAATGACGGTGTATTTTTAAAATATAATGTATTGTCAAATTGGCTTACATACAACACCCAATGCTCATCCCAACAGGTGCCCTCCTCCATGCCCATCACCCATTTTCCCCTCTTCCCCTCCCCCATCCACCCTCAGTTTGTTCTCTGTATTTAAGAGTCTCTTGTGGTTTGTCTCCTCCCTCTCTGTTCGTAACTAGTTTCCTTCCCCCACTCCCCACGGTCTTCTGTTAAGCTTCTCAAGATCCACAATATGAGTGAAAACATATGATATCTGTCCTCTGACTGACTTATTTCACTCAGCATAATACCTTCCAGTTCCATTCATGTTGCTACCAATGGCAGGATTTCATTCTTTCTCATTGCCAAGTAGTATTCCATTGTATATATATACCACATCTTTATCCATTCGTCAGTTGATGGACATTTAGGCCCTTTCCATAATTTGGCTATTGTTGAAAGTGCTGCTATAAACATTAGGGTACATGTGCCCCTATGCATCAGCACTCCTGTATCCCTTGGGTAAATGCCTAGTAGTGCTATTGCTGGGTCATAGGGTAGTTCTATTTTTAATTTTTTGAGGAACCTCCATACTGTTTTCCAGAGTCGGTGTACCAGTTTGCATTCCAACCAACAGTGCAAGAGGGTTCCCATTTCTCCACATCCTCTCCAGCATCCATAGTCTCCTGATTTGTTCATTTTAGCCACTCTGACCGGTGTGAGGTGGTATCTCATTGTGGCTTTGATTTGTATTTCCCTGATGATGAGTGACGTTGAGCATCTTTTCTCGTGTCTATTAGCCATCTGGATGTCTTCTTTGGAAAAGTGTCTATTCATGTCTTCTGGAGGGGGTATTTTTTAACATCAGCAATCCAAGGGGTTTTCAGAAGCCATTCTAAATATCCTAAATATATGTTTCTTCCTGGAGTTTAATGATACAGTTACAAAAACTGAAGGGTTGGTTGAAGGAGGCTGAAAATGACTGGGTTCCACAGCATCCATTTTTAGGAGCTACTTTCAATTTCATGTTTTAAAATATAAATGGATTTCTTTGAGTAAATTTACTGATACAGGTAAGCCTGGATCTTGCTTATTAATGTATTTCCTAAATCGTCTTTGAAGAGTAAATAGGAGAAAGTTAAATGGCTTAGTTATATGCGATGAGATTTTTTTTTTCCCAGAGAGAGAATGCTAACATTTTACCTTTTAGACGTAATAGTTAACAAGGTATTCCTAGGATTTGTTAGGTTTTCTCAATTTATTTTCTTCAATATTGAACACATAAGCAATCTTCTCCAGTTAGCTCTTTTCCCACTATCTAGTGATTTTTAAAAGGAAATTGTAAAGGCAAAGTGTAGCAGAATATTTAAATAATTATGTAAACAAACACTGCTAGTAAAATATCAGTGCTGAAGTTGAACTATTGACTGGTTGACATTGTAAGGAAGTCTTGATTTGAAATACTCATTCTTAGGCTGATTTATGACTCATTCAGCATGGGAAATGACACTTTAAGGGTTTAGCATTGGAAAAGGCACTTTTACAGTTGAAAGAAAAGTGTCTTGAATCTTTACAACTGCATTAAGCATTGTATTTAACTAAACCACCCTTCCTTTGGGAATGTGGATATTTATTTGATTGCATGTATTTTATTTTATGCTGCTGGAAGGGGTGTAAACTGAGAAGATCATCTGGTAAATACAAGAGCTATTTTTGGGCTCAGGGTTTGTTGGAGTATATATTCTTAGCAACTTGCTTTCAGTTGAAAACTCAAAGCTCAGTCTTTGGGCTGGCTTTACTTTTAGCTCGCATTTTATGATCTCCATAGCAATCAGTATTAAACCCTTCCTATCTCTGGTTTCTAGTGCACAGAAAGAGTGTAGTCATTTCCATGGGGCTTCGAGGATGCTGGAGGAATGACAAGAAGCCGTTAAAGTTGTTGGCTTCAAATCTTGCCTCCTCAGATACGTTTCTGTTTTGACAGAGGTTTGGTGATTATGTGTAGCGATGCCAGCTCATACTCTGTGACCGAGTGTGACAGTTTGTCTATATCTCTGACATGTGCAAGCATCTGATTGTGCATGTGTGTGTCAGAGAGATAGAGAGAGCTAGTGAGCACTATGTGTGAGGGGGAGCATAGTGTGTGAGGAAATACATCTATTTTTTTCTAAATCTTTCTGCTTTTCAGAAAAGGATAGAATTTACAAAGTGTGTCCCACCCTGGTGCTCCGCAGTGGGGGTGGGGAGGGAGGGCCCTTGCCCTCTCCTGAAGGGTGATATTCTTGGGCTGGGGACCCAGAGAGGGCTCCATTATTCAGGATGGTATGAAAGCAGGACGCTAACGTAGGAGGCTGATGAGGAGGTTTCTGGTCAACATTGAAAGGAAGGTGTCAGAAGTGATACAGTGTGAAAAAGAAACAGTAGTTAGCCAAGGAAGAAAACAGTTGTTAGTTCTAGGGAAAGGAGGCAGCAAGTTGAAAGGGAAGAGGGTAAGAAAAAACTAGTAGGGATAGGAGATAATATGGAGGAACTATTTTCTCCCTTTCCACATTCTCAAATAAACACACTGCATCAAACTCCGATAGCAATTTGCAAATGTTCTTTCAATGCTACATGTTCTTTTTTTTTTTTTTAATTTTTTTTTCAACGTTTATTTATTTTTGGGACAGAGAGAGACAGAGCATGAACGGGGGAGGGGCAGAGAGAGAGGGAGACACAGAATCGGAAACAGGCTCCAGGCTCTGAGCCATCAGCCCAGAGCCCGACGCGGGGCTCGAACTCACGGACCGTGAGATCTTGACCTGGCTGAAGTCGGACGCTTAACTGACTGCGCCACCCAGGCGCCCCGATGCTACATGTTCTTTAAGCTACATGCAGGAAAAATAATTAGGGGAAGGAAGGGTTAGTGCTTACAGTTTTTCCAAAACCAGAATTATAAAATACTCTATAATCCTAGCTTGAGGCGTGCACATCTTCACCCCGTACTTGGAACAGTTCTTCAGCATAATGACTGTTTTTGTTCTCAAGAAAATAAAACCCTCCCCTAAGTCAGCATTCAAGTACCATACATTGAGAGATAAAGCGTGTATTCCTTAGAATCCTGTTCTTTATGTACTCATTATAAGACTTTGCAAGATTGGTTTTCTTCACATTCAACATTCCAGTGAGATGGTTGCAACATTGTACAGTTTTGAGTTGTAAATGTAGACAGTATTCATGGGTAAAACACTTTGATGATGGTACTGGACCATGTTTTATATTTTTCAAGTAATTTTTACTTCTATTTATAGTCTTTTAGATGAGAAAGCCTGCACTCAGAAAAGTTGAGTAATATAGCTATTAGCCATAGTTTTGCTTTGCTTAAGATGACTATTAACTTTCTTTTAACAATTCTTTTTTTTAATTTTTTAACATTTATTTATCTTTGAGAGAGAGAGAAAGGGAAAGAGAGACATAGTGCAAGCAGGGGAGGGGCAGAGAGAGGGAGACACAGACTCCAAAGCAGTTTCCAGGCTCTGAGCTGTCAGCACGGTCTGACGTGGGGCTCGAACTCATGAACAGCAAGATCATGACCTGAGCCAAAGTCAGACACTTAACCAACTGAGCCATCCAGGCTCAGTTTTTAATCCACTTTTTAATCCAGTTTTAATTCCAGTTTTTAATCGCAGATCCTGCAACAAAAAGATCTGAATACAAAATAAATTCTTTCATCTTTATTCTGACACTTTCAAATTTATCTCAAAGAATTTACGTTTAAAAAAATTCTAAAGTTTATTTATTTATTTTGAGAAAGAGAGAGAAAGAGAGAGAGAATGAGCAGGAGAAAGGCAGAAAGAGAGAGAATCCCAAGCAGGCTCTGCACTGTCAGTGTGGAGCCTGATGCAGGGCTCCAACTCCTGAACCATGAGATCATAACCCAAGCTGAAAACAAGAGCCTGATCCTTAACCAACTGAGCCCTCCCAGGTGCCCCTCAAAGAATTTAAGTTTTGAAAATTAACAATAGAATATATCCTAACAACAATAATATCATCAAAAATAACTAACATTGACTGACCTCAGTGCTGCATGAAGCATTTACATGAATTGTCTCATTGAAATGCTTGCACAAACCTGATGACATAGACATCAATGCCATTTATATGACACTTGAAAGCTTTCAATTTATGTCTTATTCTCCAGTTGCAAGGAAGGCTGGGAAATGTGTTTTTGTTTTGGTTTTGTTTTGGTTTTGTTTTGTGTTTTGGTTTTTTGCTGGAGCACATCACTTCACCTAATTAGGGTTTTGTTAGTAAAGAGGAAGGAGGAGAAAGGATACTTGAGGACAGCCAGTGGCAGCCTCTCCTGTATTTGCCCACCATTAGTAATCTACCTATTTTTTTACATAGGATCTTCCCAAACTGCTCAAGCCTAGGAGAGTTCTCACTCAGTCTTTGTCCCTCAACTTGCACATCTGAAATTTGACAGCAGTTTATTTCAAATGTTTACGCAGATATCAGTAATCCATGGACATTCCTTCACACGCACTGCCCCCACTGCAGTCCAGACAGCCAGATCTCCCTTGTGGTTCACTGCCACAGCCTCCTAATGTCTCTTTGCTCCATTCCCTCTTCCTTTCTTTCTTCTTTGGTTCCTATTTTTTTTTCTAATGTTTATTTATTTTTGAGAGAGAAAGAGAGAGAGAGAGAGAGCCAGAGAGAGAGACAGAGAGCGCCAGGAAGGGCGAGAAAGAGGGAAACAGAGGATCCGAAGCAGGCTGTGTTCAGTGAGCTCAGAACCTGACACTGGGCTTGAACCCATGAACTGTGAGATCCTTTGTTGCTGAAATCAAGAGTTGGACACTTAACCTGCTGAGCCAACCAGGCACCCCCCTCCCTGCCCCCCACCACTTCCCTTTTAGCTCATTCTTCACTGAGGGACCAGTGCTTTTCATAAAATGTAAATGTAAACCTGACTTAAAAGCTTTTTTGTGGTTTGCTGTTTCATTTAGGAAAGAAAAAACAAAAACAAAAACAGGTATACAAAGTCTTCCACAAACTATCCCCCGCTCCATCCCTCTCCAACATCATGTCATGTCACTCTGCCATTTACCTTCTCATCTCTAGCTTGGCTTTCATTTCTTTGAACACCTCAAAACTGTTCCTGTCTTACAGCCTTTGTGTATTCTCACATGGATTGAGTGCCCTCAACTTTCAGATCTCAGTATATGTATTACTTGCCTCAGAGAGATTTTCTGATTTCTTCATATCTAAACTTCCCCACCCCCAGCTCTGTTTATAGCATTTATCTCAAGCTTTGGTCTGCTTCCACTACAGTACTGCAAACTTCTTAACAATAGAGAATCAATAAATGTTAACCATTATCACATTATTATCATTGTTATATTAATGATCAATATCAAGAACTGCAAAAGGTCTGAGATTTTACTGTGCTTGGTAGTTAACAGAATATCCTTTTACAGTTTCATGGATACTGGTAGAAGACATAAGATACATAGATCAAAGACAAAGGACAGTGTATTACTCACAGCATTAACAGTAGCCAGCCAGAGTGGGAGTTATTTGTGCCCGTTTCTTGAACCCAAGTTGCCACAACTCAATGCAAAGAGGGCCAGATAATACCTGTGTGTGTGGTGGGTTGCAATACAGGAGAGCAATCTGAACTTAAGGAACTTGAGTCTTTTATATTGGTCAGCAATTATGCCTTCCATTTGCTCTGGAGGAAGACATTACTCTGATATTCCTAGACTGTGTGCAAACCTGCCCTTTGCTACAGAAGGAGACTCGAGATCTTCCAAGGGTGTTCACACAACCAAGATCCTTGAAAAGACTTGCAGTCAGTGTCTCACTTGCAAGATGTACAGAAACATGAGAGACCAAAGGAGAATTATCTCCAAACAGTAACTACCTTTAAGTATCGATTCCTAAGTAACATATTTTGGTTTTGCATAATTAACTTTATGTAAGTGAAGTATTAAAGTTTCTTCTTGTTTTTGTTTTGTTTTTGGTAAATAATATTCTTTGGAGATTTATCCATATTTTTGCATGTAATTGAAATTCATTTAACTTTGTTGCTAAGTATAATATGTGGTATTATTATACTACATTGTATGTATCCATTTTACTGTTTGTGGGTATTTGAGATGATTTCGGTTTCCTGGTTATTCCCAGCAATACTTTTATGAACACTCTTGTACATCCCCAGAATGCATGTATTTCTATTGTTTATGTGTAAGGTGGTACTTCTCAAACTTTTTTTTTTTTTTTTATCTCAGGACTTCTCTATACTTTAAACAATTATTAAGAACCTCAAATAACTTTTATTTATATGAGTTACGGCTATTGTTATTTACCAAGGATATCCACTTTTACCCCTTCTATTAAAAATAATACTGGGAGTTCTAGCCAAACTACTTGGGCAAGAAAAAGAAATAAAAGGCATCCCCATTGGAAAACAAGAATTAAATATCTTTATTAACAGATGATATGATCTTTTATGTAGGAAAACCTAAAAAGTCCAGTAAAAAAAACCTTTAGAATCTATAAATGCATTCATTAAAGTAGAATACAAAAACCAGTTGCATTTTTGCACACTAACAATGAACACTCTGAAAGGAAATTGAGAAAACAATTCTATTTATAGAATAAGAGACATATCTAGAAAAAGGTTGCTATGGCTAATGTCAAGCAAGTTATTGCCTGTGTTCTCTTCTAGGATTTTTATGGTTTCACGTCTCACATTTAGGTCTTTAATCTAGGAGTGTGCTTATTGTGATGAGCGCTGGGTGATGTATAGAACTGTTGAATTACTATATTGTACACCTGAAACTAATATAACACCATAGGTTAACTAACTGGAATTAAGATAAAACTTAAAAATAAAGAATAAGATATTTAAAAATTAGCCAAGGATGTGAAAGACTTGTACAAATAAAACTACAAAACGTGGCTGAAAAAAAATAAAAAAACAACATTTAAATGAAAACATACCCCATATTTATAGATTGGAAGACTTAATACTGTTAAGATCTCCATACTACCCAAAGTGATGTAGAGATTCAATGCAGCCTCTATCAAAATTCCAATGATGTTTTTTGCAGAAATAGAAAAAACCCATCCTAAAATTCACATGAACTCTTGAGGGACTGCTGAATAGACGATCAATCTTAAAACAGAAGAACCAAGCTGAGGACTTACACTTCCTGATTTCAAAACTTCTTACAAAGCTGCAGTAATTGAAACCGTGGAGTACTGGAATGGAGACAGACATATAAACCAATGGACTAGAAGAGAGAGTCCAGAAATAAACCTTCACATATATGGTCAAGTGACTTCTTTACAAGGGCGACAAGACCATTCAATGGGGGAAAGGACAGTCTTTTCAACAAATGGTGCTGGGAAATTTGGATACCCACATGCCAAAAGAATGAAATCGGACCCTTACCTACCACCATATACAAAAATTAACTCAAAATGGATCAAAGACCTAAATGTAAGACTGAAACTATCAACTTCTTAGAAGAAAACACAGAGCAACAGGTTCATGATGTTAGATTTGGCAGTGGTTCCTTGGATATGACACCAAATACACATGTAAAACAATAAAAGTAGACAAAATGACCTCATGAATATTTAAAAATGTACATCAAAAGCAACATAAACAGAGTTAAAAGGCAAACCACAGAATGGGATAAAATGTTTCCAAATCATATATGTGATCCAGCATATTTAGAGAACTCCCAAAACTCAACAATAAAAAAAAATCTGATTAAAAAATGGGCAAGGGACTTGGATAGACATTTCTCTAAGAAAATATAAAAATGACCAATAAGAAGCTGAAAAGATGTTCAACAACATAGTCATTGGGTAAATGCAAGTCAAAACTAAAATGAGATACCACCTCAAACCCATTAAAATGGCTACCGTCAAAAACCCCAAACACCAAGAGTTGGTGAGGATGTGGAGTAATTGGAATCCTTGTGCACTGTTGGTGAGAGTGTATAATGGTATAGCTGCTGTGGAAAACAATATGGCAGTGCCTCAGAAAATTAAAAATAGAATTACCAGATGGTCCAGCAATTCCACTTTTAGGTATATACCCCAAATAGTTGAAAGGAGGGTCTTGAAGAGATATTTTTATAGCCATATTGATAGCAGCATAATTCACAATAGCTAAAATGTGAAAGTAACCCAAGTGTTCATTAACATATGAATGGATAAATATAACGTGGTATACATGTACAATAGAATATTATGCAGCCTTAAAAAGTAGGACATATGGTACAATACTGATGAACCTTGAAGACATTATGCTATGTGAAGTAAGCCACTCACACAATGACAAACACTGTATGATTCCACTTATATGAGGTACATACAGGAGTCAAAAATTATAGAGACACAAAGTAGAATGGTGGTTGCCTCAGACTGGAGGAGAGGAGAATGAGGAGTTAATGAGTATTGTGCTTCAGCTTTATGAGACGTAAGAGTTCTGGAGATAGATGGTGGTGATGTTTGCTCAATATTATGACTGTATTTAATACCTTTCAACTGTGCACTTAAAAATGGTTAGGATGGTCAAGTTTATGTTATGTGTATTTTACCACAATAAAAAAAGTGGGGAAAGAACAGCAAAAAAGAAAGGAAGGAAGGAATAAAGAAGGAAAGGAAAAAAGAAAGGAAAAGAAAAAGCTATATGAATGGCAGGTTTATATTTTGTATATTTTCAGCATATGTTCTAACATTTCCTAAAATTACAATTACTGTGGATGGTCCTTTATTTCACTCCCACTGTGATTTTCTCCAAAGAAATGTTTTTATATGGGAAGTTTTTGACTGGAGAAATATTTCTCAGTGTTTTTCCATGTCGGAGGCAATGGAGAATAAGAATCTTCTATGTTTAACTTTTTGTAGTGTCAGAAACTTATTTGAAGATGTATTTTAGTCCAAATGACTCAACAGATAGCTATCACGGAGATGCTTGTGTGTGAGGAAAGTAATTTGGCCTATTTAGAACTGGTAGTGCCTGTTTGTTAGTGCTTTCCTTGCAGACAGTTTGGTTCAGTTCCAAGAAAACATGCTGACAGAATATTAAATCTCACACAGTGAGAACTAAGATGTAACCATGGATATCCCTCTTGGATGTCTTCCTCTCTGCAGTTTCATGGCTATGGATTAATAACTGCATTTGTCAGGGTTAATTTTATTTCTTAGTGGGGGAGATTATATCCTACACATCAGTATTTGCTTTTCCCCTACATCATAGACAGTTTTTGGTGCTGACTTCCACTGGCAGCCATTTTGAACAACTTAGCTCCAGGAAGGGCCTCTAAGACCTTCCTGTATTTTTTCTTTGAATTTTTGGTTTCGTTTTAGAATTTCTATTTTCTCCTCATGCAGACTTTTAACCTGTTCTGATCAATTGGCCATTCTGACATGTTTTTTTTTCTTTCTTATTTAATTTAGAGAGAATATCCAATAGAGAAGCAGAATATATTTTCGGAATGAATGAGGTAAGTCAAATGTATATGTATTAGTTTCCTATAAGTCAGCACAAAAAATTGAGACAAGGTTAGGAATGTACTTTGTATGAATACTTAAGTCTTTGTACTTCAGTTATTTACTCATACTCTATTAACTTTATTTTGTCTTCTGATGTATTCATGTTTTTGGTAAAGAAAACAAATTCCAAGTTTCATGCAGATTTAATATTCTATCTTGCTAGGTATGATAAGGGGGCAAATAGAAGTATGAATTTGTTTTGAGGCTCCCTGTGAACAAACTCAGATATGCTGAGTCTTGCTGTGCAAGAGAATAGTATTGGGCTCAAAACTTTGCTAGAGGATGATGCAGGGAGGATATGTGACAGTCTTTGATGTTACCATTACTAGTATGTGATGAGTACTTATTACTTCAAGTGACTCAACAAAATATATTAAATGAAATAATAAATAATAAAATTAAATACAACTTATAAAAATAAAAAAAATTCTCTTAACTAAAGGCCTTATTTAGTAAAAGTTATTAAAATTTTAGATTTCTTGTATACAGAGTAAGCATTCTAAAGATGTTTTGGATCAAATAATCTTTCTGGTAGGTCTCCAGGTGGCACAACACTAGTCACGGAGGTAGATTTCCTTGAATCAGGTTACAGGTGACCAGCCGGATGGAAAAAAATTCTTTAAAATTAGTTTTTTAGGAATGACTGAAATTCCCACCCTGGGAAACACAACCCACCAGAATAGGTTGGCCCGTCCTAGCTGGCTGGATAGACTGGCTGGGTAAGCTGGTTGCTTAAGATTCCCAGAAGCTCTTGGATTCCTTTAAAACCTGTGACCAAAATCCTGAGAGAAATAGACTCTGAGAACCAAGGGGGCAATGAAAATCATTTAGTCCAGTAATTTTTACAATGCAATTTGTAGACTGCCTGAATGACAATTACATGAAAAATTTCTTAAAAATGCAGACTCCTGGGCCCAACCTTACACACTTAATCGCATTGTTGGGGAATAAGGTTATGGAGTCATGATTTAAAAATAACACCCCAGGTGACTTTTATTGCTCCTAAAGTTTGAAAACCACTGTCATAAAACAGAATCTCCACAACTAGAGTGATGTAATGTGGTACAGAGTATGTATTCATTAAATGAATAAGTGAACCAAGGTAACTGTGTAAAAAACAACGTGAAAAGTTAAAGTTTGTGTGTCTTTGGAGTAGACGGAAGAAAGTTATTGTATGAGATTGACTGATTCAGTTTAAATGATAAAACGTTGTCATTTTCATTTTGTTCACATCGACATAATAGTAATATACTCCTCACAGATCTCTATATGTATTGCTCAAGTTAACTTCAACTACGGTTCATATTCTTTGCTTCTCTATGTGTCTTTCATATTTATATATACTCTAAACTTCTGTAAGAGAAAAACAATTTCATCAAGTCATATTTGTTCTATTCCCTAACCCTTTGCACATTTTTTAAATGTTTATTTATTTTCGAGAGAGAGCGAGTGAGCAGGGGAGGGTCAGAGAGAGAGGGAGACACAGAATCCAAAGCAGGCTCCAGGCTCTGAGCTGTCAGCACAGAGCCCGATGTGGGGCTCAAACTCATGAGCTGAGAGATTATGACCTGAGCTGAAACCGGATGCTTAACCAACTGAGCCATCTGGGTGTCCTTCCCTTTGCACATTTAAAAAGCAATGATATTGCTTCCATGCCTTCAACCTTGGATAGGTCTTCATTTGAAACAATTTTGCTTAAATTTTTAAGGCTTTACGTTTGGCTTGACACACTGAGAAATGTATTCAATTAACTTTAAGTTACAGTATTTTAGAAATACCATATGTTTTAATTTTTAGTTCTGATTCTATATAAACTTTACTTTTGTTGGAAAGTAACAAGTGAAAGGGGAATTGATTCAATTTTAGGAGAATTTATTTTTAAGAGAGAGAGAGAGAGAGACAGAGTGCAGGTGAGGGAGGGCAGAGAGAGAGGGAGACACAGAATCTGAAGCAGGACCCAGGCTTTGAACTGTCGGCACAGAGCCTGATGGCGGGGCTCAAGCTCACAAACTGCAAGATCATGACCTGAGCCTGAGTCAGAAGCTTAACTGACTGAGCCACCCAGGCGCCCAAAACTTTTTGAAGAAAAACATAGGAGAAAACCTTTGGAAAGTAGGTCTTAGTGAAGAGTTATTAGACATGACACAAAAGCATGATCCATAAAAGAAAAATTGATAAATTGGACTTTTTAAAATTTAAGAACTTTTGATCTATGAAAGATCCTGTTAAGAGGAGCAGACAAGCTATAGACCTGGAGAAAATATTTGCACATCCTATATCTGTGGCATTATAAAGAAACAGCAAGGGGAGCCTGGGTGGCTCAGTCAGCTGGACGTCCAACTTCAGCTCAGGTCATGATCTCACAGCTTGTGAGTTTGCGCCCCACGTTGGGCTCTGTGCCGACAGCTCAGAGCCTGTGTCCTGCTTTGGATTCTGTGTCTCCCTCTCTCTCTGCCCGCCTTCCCTCCCCCCCACCCCCCATTCATGCTCTGTCTCTCTCTCCTTCAAAAATAAATGAACATTAAAAGAAATTAAAGAAATAAACAGCAAAACCCAGTTATTTTTCAAAACTATGTCGATAGTACTTTATATCTCCTGTTTTCAGAACTGGTCTGCCCAACATCACCTGGGTATAAATGAGATGCTGTTTGTGATTTTCCAAGAGCCAGGTAAATGAATTCTCAGTCTAGACATGAGTTTCAGGTCATTTTTGCTGGCTACTGCCTCTCCCGGCCACCCTGCTTTACCAATCACTAGAGACTGCTGAGAAGTGATGGGGAGCGGTCTCAGGAGCACATGCTGTGGTGTGCAATCTGTCGTGGAACATGAGGATTTAAAATCCACCATATGCCAAGGGAGGCATCGCTATTGCTTTAATTACAGGTGTTTTGTGTGTCTTTATATCCATGCATGATGGCTTTTCTCTTGGGTTGTAAGTACAGATCCTTAGAAATTCTGGTGTTGCGTTTCCTAAAGTATTCACTTTAATAATTCCAAACAAATGCTGAAAGGCCTAAAATAGCCAATTGATTCTACCTTTCATTGTGGTCCTGTTCAGGGCTCCGTATCCTTAAAACAGTGGTGTACCTTGTTATTTCTCTGTATGTAGTAGTTCTTAACCATTTCTTGCATCTCAGATTTTTTTTTTATGATTTGATAAAACTACCTCCAAAAGTTTCACTCTCTCTCAGGCTGTCTCTCTCCATACACACACACACACACACACACACACACACACACACACACACATACACACACATGCAAGCACACCTGAGCATGAACACACATGCACATGTATACACATATATACCCACAGTTTTGCATTCACTTTCAAATGTTTTGTAAGTCCTCTGAATTGCAGGTTTAGTATTTGTATATTGAGAACCTAGGATTTTTGTTGTTGAAAGTTATATGCTCCCCACTTGCATTATTATTAATGGCATTATATCTTCCCCATGGTACTGTTAGCAGTCCCTGAGCAGCAGAGAGACCAGCTTTCTCATCAGTGAAGAACCAGCGGTAAGCATCAATCGATACTATACTTTCTTGCATGGACACAAATGGGGTATTATTTTGTAGTCAAAGATGGAGATGCTCTGTTTCCCAGGTTACAGTTATTTTTCAGGTCCTCATATATGAAATTTGAGGGTCAATTACTTTGGAAAAAAAACAGTTTCTTATGGGGAAAAAAAGTAACATAAGACATATTAATGAGAATGACAAGGCATGGCCATTTGCTTGCATTTTAATTTCTCAGTCTTACAAATGAGGAAAAATGAAGGGTCTGAGAGGTTTAATGACTTGATTAAAATTATCCATATGTTTAAGAGGCAGATCCTGGGCTAGAACTTGAGTTTCTGAATTCTAGTTCAGTATTCTCTCTTCATACCTCATTTCTTTTACCTGTAAGTACATGCCTAAGAATAATCATGAAGTATAGTTTATTTAAAAATCAAATTTGAATATCAACTAAGAGGTCAGTAAAGGGATTTAAAATTTTTCACTAATTTCTTAGTAAAAAAAAAAAAGATGCTGTTTGGGAACATGGGAAAATAGAGTTATATTCTTACGCTGACAATTTTAACATAGGTGATATTTTGCTTTTTGCTAGCATACTGATCTTTAATCTTTCAGAATGAAGGTTGTGGGCTGACCAATTGAAATAATTAAACCTTTGTTAGGTTTTCTTTTTTTTGATCATGTGAAACATATGATGTCAAAGTTTAAAACATTAAAAGGTGTCCTTTACTTTTCCGTGTGTGTGTGTGTGTGTGTGTGGTGTGTATAAAGATACATGTGTAAATTTATATTCCTCCTGCTTGTTTACACTAAAGGCATCATACTATATGTACTGGTCTGTTCCTTGGTTTTCAGGATTTAAAAACATAACCCAGAGTTCATGCGATTTTGTACATAGATTTTATTCCCATTCATTTGTATGTTGCATAATATTATATTCTGGGTGTTTAGCATGGTGTATTCATTCAGTCCCTTTATTGATGTATATTTGAGTTGTTTTTAATCTTTTGTTATTACAAATATTGTTATCATGTATATCTAGGGAATCAGTCTAACAATATTTTGGCCAGTGCTATCTTTATAGCTAGGATTTCGGTATTAAAGAATAAATACATATGTTATTTTGCCATAGATAGCCAAATTCCCCTCTGTTTTGCATTTCTAACAAGTGTAGGAGAATACCTATTTGCCTACAGCCTCATCAACAGCATGTTGTCTTGAGTTTAAATTTTTGCCCATCTGATAGTAAGATAGCTAGTGGCTGTTGGGAGCTCTTTCAGTTTGCCATGTATCTTAGTGTGGTTTAAATTTGTATTTCTCTCAATGAGTGAGATATTCACCTTTTCCTATGTTGGTGGTCATTTTAATTTATTTTTCTGGATAAATCTGTTTATTTATCGTATCTATTTTCTTGTCAAACTGTTAGTTTTTTTTTCTTTTGTTTTTTTTTTTTTTTTTTTTTTTTTTTTTTTTTTTTTTTTGGAGATGTTTACATATTTATTGTTATCCCCTTGCCTGAGATATGAGTTGCAAATACTTTCCCAATTATGTCATATGCTAGTAATTAAAATTTGAGATTCCAAATGATTTTAAAGTGATTTATATTTCTTTTTTTATGATGACATTGTCTTTGGTTAAGCAATAAGTTGTTAAAATTAAACAGTAAGCTTCTTTCTTAAATAAACTTTTTATTTTAGCACTGCAAGGTGCTCTCAGCTCATTTTATACTTTCCCTGCATCAGTCCTGGAATCAACTATTTCTCCAGGGAAATTTTTCTTTTCATGTCACAGATATGTCACAAAAGAACAATTTGTTTCAATCAGGGTCCTAGTGGCCATTTTCAGAGTAAGATAGTTTGGGGAGAGCTTAATGAAAAACTTATAAATATGGGGTGCTGAAGAATCCTGCTACGTATACATCTAGTAACCATGAGTCTGTTGTCATCTATAGAACTGAGGGAATAGAAAGAGAGCATCATGTACTGAAGACCTTGAGAGGCTCAATGACCTTCAGTGGGGGGATACAGCCTTCCTGAATCTGGCCTCCAGAAGGAAGTCACTCACTCTCTTCCTTCTCTCTAATCATATTTGGGAAACTAGAGGTCTGGGGAGCTCTTTCATATCTATACCAGCCATCCTCACAAGAAAAAGCCAGGTAGAGAGCTAAAGAGAGCATCTGCTGGGATGAACCAAAAATATCCAGCAGAGTACATGTTTTCTTTTACACTATTAATGATTCTATAAATATAGAAGAATTAACATAATTTTACATTTTACTTGAAATAAAGTGGTGAACAGTGGATTTGGTTGAGTGGCTAGCTAAGAGGCTAGCTGAATTGCTAGAAGATACTAGAAGGACCCTAAAGCCATTAAATAGGAAAATTCAGAAATTCAGAAAAATTGGAAAAGCCATACCTAATAAAACTTGTCCCAAAGCAAATACCATCTGTGCTTGGGGGTATAATTTAATAAGTATTCAGAGTTTAATGAGGGATGGATGGAATTAGAAAGTCACACTAGGGGCATGCTTTAGAAATAGTATACATGCCATTCACAGGTTCTGAAGGGGTCTGGGTCTTTAACCTCAGGAATGATATTACAGATATTTAACAACTTACATGGCACAGAAGCTACCTTTGAATAAATGGACCAGAACCAGTCAGTATAAATATGGCATAATATTTATAATTAGTCAATGTATATATTTAGATATGGTTACTCCAGGGCTCAGACATTTAATTTGCTATCCTGGCTTTAAATACCATTGATACACTGTAAACTCTCAAATTTAAGTTTCTCAATAGACATCTCTCCTGAAGTTAAGACTGAAATATCCAAGTGCTTTCCCGTCATATGCACTTGGATATCAAAAGATGTTTCAAGATTACTGTGTCTGAAATGTAATTTTTTTCTTTCTCATAAAAAAAATCTCCCTGGTGAAGTGTTTCATATTCCAGCTCCACACAGTCCAACCTTCTAGTTGTTCAAGCCAAACACTTTTTAAAAAATTATTATCTTAAATTTTTATACATTACATACAATGAAACACACTATTTTCAGTGTATGGTTTGGTGAGTTTTAACAAACCACAACAGTCAAGATACAGATTTCTATTACCTGCTGTTTCACCTCTGTTCTGGGCAACCAATGATTTGTTTTTTATTTGTTTCTAAAGTAGTATGTGAATGGAATCAGACTCTATAGGCTATTTTGTGTCTGGCTTCTTTTGTTTAGCATAATGTTGCTGAGATGCATCCAGAGCTTAAATGATACTGATATATTGAATCTTGTTGAACATATCTATAGTTTTTTTCTTTGATTTATTTTGTTTTATTGCTAAATAGTATTCCAATGTATGGAAATGCCAAAATTTGTTTATCGATTCACCTGTTGATGGATATTTATGTTGTTCTCTGATTGGGGACAATTATAAGTAAAGCTGTTATGAACATACATGTAAGACATAATATAGTTTGAATAGATGTATATTTTAATTAATCTTGGTTAATTTGCTAAGAGTAAAATTTCTGGATCATATGAAAGCGTATGTATAACCTTATATGAGACGGCTGAACTATTTTGGAGAGTGGTTCTACCATTTTTCTTTCCTACCAGTAATGTATGAGAGTTCTACTTCTCTCTACCCTCACTGGAACCCTCTCCACCCTCAAATTTAGTAATCTAATGGAAGGTAGTGGTATCTTGTGATTTCAATTCTCATTTCCCTGATAAATGATGACGTTACACATCCTTTCTTGGGCTTGTTGGCCATTCATATATCTTCTTCTGTAAACTATCTGTTCAAATCTTTGTGTATTTTTAAAAGTCAAGGTCTGAATGTGAGACCCTTGTCAGCTGTTTTCATTGCAAATATTTTCTCCCAGTCTGTGACTTTACTTTTCATTTACTTAAAAATATCTTAAGATATTTTAAATTCTATTATGTTTGGTAAAAACTTCCAAAGTTTTTCTCAGAAAAACCCCCCAAAACTAAAAGCAAAACTAAAAACAAAATGACTAAATGAGAGTGAACAGTGACATTATTTATCCCATTACTGTAGAAGGGAGTGTCTACTCCTTGGTGAAACTGACTGAGAAATTCAGACATTGAAATTTTGATTTTTTCCTGGCCATGTAAGACTGTCATCTTTTGTCGTTTTTCCTAGTGTTCTCATAAATTGGATTCTCTTTCTATGTGCAAATATCCATTTCCTTAAATTTTTTGCTGCATAACTAGTTGTTTCTCTGTGATTTCTATGTGCTTGGTCTTCAAGGAACAGTCTTAAAGCTTGGTGTTTCACTGTACATCCTTAAGGTCCACTGCAGGTATTTACAAATATTTCTGTGTCTGATTAATCCATCTGCTACTTTAAACTAGAAAAATAGGAAAGTTTTACATGGCTGTTTTTGTTTATTTTGAAGCTATAGTTTAAACACAGGAATATGTAGACCACAGAGGCTGGGAATATGAAACGCACTCCAAGCAATCTTATCCAGATGTGGTTACGTATAACTGGGGATTTTCCAAATTAACTTCCATTTACTAAATTGAAACTTACATCTAGAACATTAAAATGCAATAGAAGCTCAACATTCATTGAAGATTGAGACAAACATATTTTTCAAGAAGGAGTATTTTACCAGTGTCTTAAGAAATTGCTGGTAGTTGGCTTTTATTCCTTTTATTATTTTATGGTTGCTGGCTTCAAGGTTGCACAGCACTTACTAGCCAGCCTTTTGTGTACTTAGCCAGTTGTATGTCTTTAGTACCTTTTGCTGATAATTAACAGGATCTACCTGATAACATTAAAGATATGAGTACACAGTATTTGGCACAAAGAAATCAAGATATGCTAGCTACTGTTTAATTGCTGTGGTTCTGTTTAAATTTAGGACTTCTGTAGGGTCCACTCAGTAAGTAAGTTTTACAGTTTGTAGATTGAGTATCTACATCCTTAACATCGAGGGTTAATGTAGTTTTTAATGTGAAATCGAAGTCTCGAGCAACTGGACTTTTTCTTGCTTAGAAATTCACAGCATTGAATGGCTTGTGGTATTACAACTCCATGAATTATATTGATTTTCATTCTCTTACAATATATATTCTAGAAATGTCTATGATATTGGATTCCCCCCCCCCCCCACCCCACCCTGCTGTCTCACCAATGATCTAGTAGCTGAGACGGGAGCTGGAGCCAGCAATCTCAGAAGTGCTGCCCTCTCTAGCACACTAAGTAGTGTGCATATTGGTCAGTGGCTGGTCTGTTGATGGTATTCAAAAATGGCCAAGGAGGAGTACGAGAAGAAAGAAATACATTAAGAGGACTACAGATGTGTGATACAAATTATGTATAATGAGAGGAAGATGCTATTGACACCCCCTACTATGTGGCATAATAATATAGGTGATCAACTCTCTTCCTAAAGAAAGGACTCTAAAGTGTCTTCTTACAAATAATTTAAAAAAATTTTTAATGTTTATTTAGTTTTGACAGAGAGAGACAGAGTATGAGCGGGGGAGGGGCAGAGAGAGAGGGAGACACAGAATCTGAAGCAGGCTCCAGGCTCTGAGCTGTCAACACAGAGCCTGACACGGGGCTCGAACCCACAGACCGTGAGATCATGACCTGAGCCGAAGTCGGATGCTCAACTGACTGAACCACCCAGGCGCCCCAAAATTAGTTTACATTTAATGAATTGAAATTACATGGAGAAAACTGTTTTTACAAAAAGTTTATAATATATGAAAATTTATTTTAATATTGTAGTATTATGAAAAAGGCAAGAAAATGTATATTAAAATTAATGATTTACTATACTAAAAAACTCAGTCAGTGCTTAGAGAAAACCAGAAATAAATACACCAAATAGTTACTAAGATAACAAGGAAATAGCAATGATTATAAAAATACCTATTCATTACTTTCAGCGTTGCCCACATTGTATTTATGTTTATTTATTTATTTATTTATTTATTTATTTATTTATGTTATTTTTTTTAAATTTATTTTGAGAGAGAGAGAGTGCAAGAAGGGGCAAAGACAGTGAGAGAGAGAATCCCAAGCAGCCTCTGCACAATTAGTACCGAACCCAATGCGGGGCTTGAACTCATGAACTGTGAGATCATGACCTGAGCTAAAACTGAGTTGGCTGCTTAACTGACTGAGCCACCCAGGCACCCCAGGTGTTATCCATATTTTAATAAAAAGCAAACAATTTAGCACATGATGGAAATATTTAATAAAGCTATTCTATAATTTTAGTCGGTAGAATGTTAATTTTATCTTTTTGTAATCAATCCTTTGGTGGTTTATTGATCTTTTAACATGTTTAAAATCAAGTTTAAAAAATATTAAATATTGAGTCAGTATGTTTCACAACCAGCTGCTGGTATTGATCCCATTGGTTTTTTTGTTTTTCAAATATTTTTTTAAAGTTTATTTATCGAGGAGGGGGAGGGACAGAGAAGAGAGAGACAATCAGTTCTGCATATTGTCAGCGCAGAGCCCAACGCAGGGCTCGGACTCACAAACTGGGAAATCATGACCTGAGCTGAAACCAAGAGTCAGACACTTAACCAACTGAGCCACCCAGGCACCCTGATCCCATTGGCTTTTATATCATGAAGATATCATATGATTTTGGAAAGCTGCAAACTAACTTGATATTAGATGTATTGATTACAGAAGGCTTTTTAGCATGCATCTAAGTAACTTTTTAACCCTGCACTCTTAATAGCTCTTGAATATATGGTATCTAGTTAATTCATGACCCTATGGCCAACTTATTCTTTAGGCGCAGTAAGCACAGTGCCTTCTAGGACCCAGGATACTTTTTGAAGCCCATGGAAATGTTTTAATTTTAATTTCTTTTAAAATCAAAATTAAAGAAACAAAAAAAAACCACCCCATAAGTATAATCGTGTGTGTGTGTATGAATATATATATTCATTTATTTCTTTTTAAATTGATAAAAACAATTTAATGGAGAAAGGAGCACACAGAAAGCAAATAGGCCAGACAGAACCCATGAAAGTCATAATGTGGACCTTCTTGGCCCCTTAGTGTATAACTCTTTCCTTTCCCTTCATGATTCTGTAATGAACTGAGGAAAAACATCTGAGAATAACAGTAACTTGTGGACCTCATGAAAGATTCCAAGAAAATCAAAGTGCTAAGATGAAAAATTTCAACCCAGGAGAAAAATACAGTGTAAAATACACTTTATGCAGTGACCAACATCCATCTTGTGTCTGTTTGCTCTAAGCAACAGCAGTATTAACTCGTCTATGCAGAGTAGGTTCTCAGGTTATGGAGAAGGGATTTTTCATCCAGTAGTCACCACTGCTTAGGGCTCTAGCTTATTTTATGAAAACAACAGGTTCAGCAAAACTTTCCATGACAGGAACTAAAACTTTTTTTTTTTTTTTCAACGTTTATTTATTTTTGGGACAGAGAGAGACAGAGCATGAACGGGGGAGGGGCAGAGAGAGAGGGAGACACAGAATCGGAAACAGGCTCCAGGCTCTGAGCCATCAGCCCAGAGCCCGACGCGGGGCTCGAACTCACGGACCGCGAGATCGTGACCTGGCTGAAGTCAGACGCTTAACCGACTGCGCCACCCAGGCGCCCCAGGAACTAAAACTTTTAATTGATAATTTTATTAGGTTATTTATCATTTGATTATAGTATAAAACACGCACAGTACTTGCCTTTTTGTGGCATTATTTGGTTTTCTTTCAAGTATTATTGATTTTCCCAGATGTTTTTCGGTACTTGCCTTGGGTGTCTTAAAAATAATGGTCACCGTAACTGAAGATTGAAGACAGCTTAGCGTTTAACTGAATGAGCTCCCCTTTCCTTCCCCCAGTATTTTGGGAGGCTGTGAAATATCGTCTGCTATTAGGTGAACCTTCTATACCATACAGTATAATTGTAGTAATTTTAGTAGTAATTTTCTTCTCCTGATGTATATGGGCATACTTAACTGATTACATATTTTACTTTACATTTCCCTTTTTCTCATGTTTTCCTTCATTATTTTTTTTCTCTCTCCTTTCTTCCTTAATTCAGTTCCCACTTAACGTTACGGTATAAAGAACTTAGGGAAATTTACTTTGATGTCTCTTTTATTCCCCTTTCCTTTATTCTTCATTGTTTTCTTCCTGTATTCGTTCTTCTTTCCTTCTTGCCAGCTTCTCCCACCCTGCAACTGTAGATATCACACACACACACACACACACACACACACACACACACACACACACACCCCTGAGTAATCATACTGAAGATTTGTGTCTTTGTGTGTCTGTTTTTTGGAAATCTTTTCTTTACTCTGGCAGGATTTGCTAACTTTCTGTTGATTGTTTCACAGTCTGCAAAGCGATACAATTTGTTCCTGAAGCGACGTCTTTTGGTAAAAAAGCGCTGAATGCTGCTGCTTACGCTTTGGATGGCTGCAGTAGTAGCCCCAGTCCTTTTTATTCCAGTGTATACTATTGATTTGTGGGGACTTTGTCACTGATTCCCAGTCTCCAGGCAATTGAGATTTTAGAATGGTGATTCTTAATTCTGTTTGGATCTGATTAAAGCTGTAGATGCTCTTTCTAAAAAATGTATACGTGTGTCTATCTATATACATATAATTTATATATATTATATATATTTGCTGTGTATAGATATATATTACATATATGTAATGTATATATTTGATATATAATATATTTTTTATATTTGCATATAAACACACATATATATTACATACATATACACACATATACAGACAATTTACCTACAGCTTTAGAATTTATGAACTCCTAGTGGGAATCCTGGACTAGGAACCTCAGAATAACTTACCTCATTCAAAGAAAATCCACCCAGATGTTCACCCATTATACACTGGAATTTCTAAGAGCAAATCAAATATAAACACAGACACTTACACACATGGCAAAATGTTATCTTTATGTCATGCCTTGAGCAAAACAAAAGAATGATGTTTTTTAATAGCCTTCAGTTATATGTAACAGAGTTATCAAGTTTTTCTCCCCTCATTTGCTTCAATCAGTTTTTTGTTAACAGTACTAAGACAGGTACGTCATGGTGATCTACAAGGTTGCCAGTGATTTCTCCATCTGTTTTAAAATGTTTGTTTATTTTTGAGAGGGAGAGAGAGCGGGGTAGGCGCGGAGAGGGTGGGGGAAAGAATTTAGGAAGTGGGCTCTGAGCTGTCAGCAGAGAGCCTGATGTGGGGCTCAAACTCATGAACCATGAGATCATGACCTGAGCTGAAGTTGATACTTAACCGACTGAGCCACCCAGGCAAGCCGATTTCTCCATGTTTTTAAACAATTTACTCTTTATATTAGGACACAGCATAATGAGAGAAGTTTGGGTTTTCCTAGGTAGCATCTGGCTTTCAGAAGTATATATACCCATTTTGACTGAACACTGAGAAAACTAATTGTTTTGGGGGTTACTTTGTTTACTAAGAGTCAAATACTCTGCGTGTGATTTTTTTGTTGACTTCAATGTGCATGACTTCTGTCATCAGAACTTCTCTTTGTGGACTTAGATTTAGTTTGCCCAAACAATAAAAACACTTGTAAATGTATATTGTTTTAAAAATAATCTCTCCCAGGGGCACCTGGATGCCACAGTGGATGGAACATGCAACCCTTGATCTCTGGGCTGTGAGCCTACTTAAAAAACCATGCAAATTTTGGCTGTCACAGATTTTGCTTTGAGAGCAAAGGGATTATTAGGATTTTTACCTCTAATTTTTTGCTTTGATTATATTTAGTCTAATTAGTCTTTTATTTCCTGCCCCAAGTCCATGAGTTTTGGTGAATTTCACAAACTATGTTAATATTACGATGATTTACAAGAGCTCAAATGACTTTTTTTTTTATTTTGTTTCCTTTTTCTTTTTGTAGTGAGTTGTAAATCAAGGGGTAACAGGAAAATAGTTTGAGTTTTCTCAGGTTCTTTTACTTTGTTTTAGGCAAAAGGAGATGATTATGCATCTTTTGGTTAGATGCAGAGAACTCAGACATAGTATTTGAATTACTATTTTCTATATTTACTGTCTAGACTCCCTGGATGTGTTTTGTTTTTTTGCTCATTTTCCCACTCGTTTCTTTCTGTGCATTAGGAGCTACTTCTTCCTGAAACATATCAGCTATGCCTTCACATAGATAAAATACAGTTCTATTTTTCATAGAACACACTTCAAACATGAGATTTTTGTCTTATTATACATGACTATTGTACATCCATTCTTTTTTAGGGGAAGTCTCCCTGGCTTGAGTTGGGTGAAAAACAGCATAGAATACCATAACAGAAACTCATAAACTAACACAAATAGCAGTTACAAAAACAAAACATCCCTTTCTCCATTCACAGGTTAGCGGAAGCAATTGGAAAGTTGCCAGTGTTAAGTTATAACTGCGTCACAGGGTTAGAGAGATCACTAACATCCACTACATCATTTGTTTGCGTCAGTCTAAGTATTAGATATATCTGGGCTATTTGAAATATTACGTATTACACATTACTTATAAACTCTGAGGAAGGCCACATCAGTCAAACGTGAAATCTCTTCTTCTAAAGCTCTCTAGTGTTTTTGTAGTTCTGAAAGGAAAGGAATTGATGAAATATACAACATGTGAATGCTGAATTTGTCAGTTTGACTATTCCACTGAGAGAATTGATAACATCCGATTTTAACCAAAGATGGACTCGGGCTCACGTAGGGATCAGAATTGAAAGGAGATCTGCATGAGCATTTACGTGCAGTAAACCCAGCTGGCAAGCTATCTGCTTTCTGATTTTTAACTGCACTTTGATTTTACTTTAACCCTTCAGAAGTTGAATTAGAAAGTGGCAATTTTATGAAAACAGAGAAGCATTAGTCATAAGTTAATTTTCTTAGAATGAGATTCATTAATTGGTCGGTAATTAATTCCACCCCAAAGCAGTGCGTGAACATGAATTATTTGTCCGACTCATTGGCATGTTATTTAATGAAGCTAACAAGTCTCTCTCCGAATATGCATTTTGGGATCCATGTATCCATGTGTTCATTTTATACATTGGTATAATTGCACCATTTTTGTTGTGTGTGCATGTAGTTAAATGCTTACCTTCATCTTGAGCCTTCCTGGTATATGTATATATCTTCCCTATGGAAGTTCACTTTCCGAAATGAGCATAATCTTCTGTTGGTGAAAACTCTGGCTATTTGTCTTTACCCGCCAATTCAGGATTGAAACAAATTAGACCAAATGTCAGCTAATTCGTTTCATGTTTTTGCCATTTGAAAATACAACTGGAAAGTTGTGTCATTTCTGTCTCCTACAGTTTAAAAAAGATGAACAAAGCAAAGATTCTATCTTCTTCCGAGATGGGATTAGGCAAATTGATTTTGTGCTCTCCTATGTTGATGATTTAAAGAAAGAAGCAGACCCCAAGGCGGTAAGTACTTGAGGGAAGAGAAACTGGGAATCCTTAAAAGAAACACTTCCTGTAGCTCATCAGGGTTGTTCCCATTGAATTAAGCTGTAGAGGTCAGAGGCCTCTGAAGTGTTATTGAAAGCTAAGACTGAGGGAGATTAGAAAACAGGCCTAATAATGGATTGGATTGGATGTGTAAAGTCAATTTGTTTTTTGGGTTTTTTTTTTTTTTTTTGGACATCTTGAACACTACCTTCTTTTTCTTCTCCCGAGTGACTGGGAGTATGTATATTGTTTACATAGCTCCACAATATTAAACGTGACCTCCAAAATTTGAGGTGTGTGTCTGAATATAATATTTATTTTCACTTTGAAAATGTATGGCTAATCCAGGCCATCTGAAATGTCCTCCACATTGTGCTCTATTCCTTATCCTGTTTTCTTTTCATTATAACCCATCACTTTCTGAACTTGTGTATATGTTGTTTAACTTGTTTGCTGTGTGTCCAACACCCTAAATTAAGTTCATGAGACCAAGGACTTTGTCCTGTTCACTGCTGTGTACCCAAATGCCTAAAACAGTGTGGTTGCAGCATAGTGGATGCTCAAGAAATAATTATATTTGAAATAATGAATTAATACATTAATCCATATGTGTAAGTGTGTACACACACATTTACTAACATCCTTATCTAGGAAATAAATGTCATATAAAATAAACATAAAAGAACAACAGATATTATCCCCATAAGACCCTGTCCCTTTCTTCCACACTTTCCCTGGAAACCCTTCCATCAAGCCCCTGAAATTCACTCATTTGTCATCATTTTCTTTTTCTCTGAATGTCCGCCTGTAACTGGGCTCTTCACTGAGTTCCCTGCATTCTCCAAGAGTCCTCTCAGGTGATGGTTGCCTTTTTCTGGAGATGGGCAAATGCCTGCTCCGCCCTCCTTGTATCTCATTGTTGATTACAGGCAGCTCTCCCTACCTCATCCCTAAAATTCCTGAGCTTTTATTCTTCTCACATTAATTATTGCCCTGCTTTACTGCTGTCATTAATGTGTCCCTGGGTCTTCCTTTCATTTCTCAACAGTTTGAGCCCTTGGTTCATTATCATTCTCTTCACCAATACTCCTTAAATTATTGATTATTGCAATTCATACATCGATGACTATTTTATTTACAAAATTTTTTTAAAATCTGTGTTTATTTTTGAGAGAGAGAGAGAGAGAGAGAGACAGAGCACGAGAAGGGGAGGAGCAGAGAGAGAGGGAGATGCAGATTCTGAAGCAGTTTCCAGGTTCTGAGCTGTCAGCACAGAGCCAACGTGGGGCTTGAACTCACAAAAGCAAGTTCATGACCTGAGCCGAAGTCAGACTCTTAGCTGACTGAGCCACCCAGGCGCCCCAGTGACTATTCTAGCATCCTGGCTCTCTTCCTTGAACTCCCCTTTCCATTTATCTTAGTTTCTTGCTCAGCCATTCACTTCCCTAGAACTTGTCATTATTGATAACTGCGAAAATATTTTTGAATGAATTAGAGTTTTTCCTAGAATGATGTGGTTCAGGTTCAACTATACCCCTCTCTTGTTTTTTTATGGCTGTGTCAATTAAGCTTGTTCAGATAAATGAGTAGATTGGAATAGAAAGATTATCGTTTATGCAGTTTTAATCTTTTTTAGACACCTGAGTTATATCCCCAAATTACAGTGATGTATCATAAAAGTAGTGTTTAATGACCCATCACCTAGTAATCCTATTAGCTCTTCAGTTTTGGCAGTCATGTTACTTGCAAAAGCATTTGTTACTATAATGAAAAGAGTGGTTCACTTTCTCAGTTCTGATAAGAGATAACAGTAATTTGAATGCCTAAGTCCTTTTTTTTTTTTTTTTTTTTTTTTTTTTGGTTTTCTGGAAGTTTGCAGTCTGCCTCCCTCTGGTAATGTGAAAGAAGGGCAATTATGAAAGGAAATTCTGTACCACTGTCATAGGCCTGTGCTCATATGTGGCAAACTTTGGAAGTAGGGGAAAAACACCTTAAATTATCTTTTACTCTTTCTTGTAAACTTTAAGATATATCAAGGTAGACCTATCCATTTGAAGATAGGCATTCTATAATACCATAATAAAATATTTTAAAATTTCATTTACTATAAAATTCTTCAGACTTAGGTAATAATGAAAGCCAAAAAAAAAATTTCAACAATCAGTGCATTCTTTTAAAGCCCACAAGTAATGATTGTTTTAACTTAATCTAATTTAATTAAATTAATTAATTTATTTTTTTTCTAAGTGAAGCTATTCTTTTCTTCAGCATTAGAAAGTTATAATGAGGGGCATGTGGGTGGCTTAGACGGTTGAGCGGCCTACTCTTGATTTCGGCTCAGGTCATGATCTCAGTAGTTGTGAGATCAAGCCCTGTGTTGGACTCCACGCTGAGCATGGGGTCTGCTTGGGATTCTCTCCCTCTCTCTCTCTCTCTCTCTCTCTCTCTTTCTTCCTCTGCCCCTTTCCCCTGCTCACACACACACTCTCTCCTCTCTCTCTCTCAAAAGATAAAATCAAAATAAAAACTCACAATGATACTTTGGCTTAAATTTGAATTAAATATATCCTTTCTTTTTAAGAGTGTTGATGTGTTTCTAATACCGAGTCTTTCCGACCAAGGGCATGACAGGTCTCTCTATTTATCTAGTTTTTTAAACTGTTATTTAGTAAAGTTCTATACATACTTTCAGATAGCAGTCCTGCACATTTCCTGGAAATTATTCCTAAATATTTTGGATTTTTATAGTTATATTGTGAATTTTAGTACAGACGAAAAGCAGGACATGGTGCTGAGATGGGGGTAATGTATAAAGGACTTTTATATACAAGCATGGGAGGGGCAGAGCACCATCTGGAATAATGAGTCTGTTTATCACGGGGCAAATAAAAGTGTTCTGTATAATTCTACCAATTTTTTTTTTCCCTTAGGAAAGGAGAAAAGAATTTGAACAAAATCTCAGAAAAACAGGTCTTGAGTTGGAAATTGAAGACAAAAGGGTAAGTGTAGCTGTTAATTTGTACCAGAGTCTTGGTGTTTTAAGCAATTGTTTTCTTCTGTTACGGCCTTTGACCAAATAGACTTTGTGTTTGAGAGCAATACAATAGTTTTTTTGGCTACTGTTATCTGGATGGTAGGGCATATGGTCTTCCTGGTAAAGAAGTAGGTCAAGGATATGAATATAAGACAATGAGCAGACACTGAAAAAAATAGACATAATTCCATTCAGGATACAAAGAAAGTGAAGATATGGTTCTTGTTTCCTATCTCTCATTTTTTTAAATATGAAATTTATTGTCAAATTGGTTTCCATACACTCATCCCAACAGGTGCCCTCCTCAATGCCCATCACCCACTTTCCCCTCCCTCCCACCCCCCCCATCAACCCTCAGTTTATTCTCATTTTTTAAGAGTCTCTTAAGGTTTGGCTCCCTCCCTCTCTAACTTTTTTTTTTTTTTCCTTCCCCTCTCCCATAGTCTGGAGAGTGTTATGCTAAGTGAAATAAGCCATACAGAGAAAGACAGATACCATATGTTTTCACTCTTATGTGGATCCTGAGAATCATATCTCTCATTTTGAAGGCTGTCCGTAATCTGGCACTCTAACTAGTTAACCTGGCCATCATCTGCATACCCACTACTTAAGCCAAGACAACTTTCTTTGCTCATGAATATGGCAAATTCTTTTATTTATTTATTTTTAATGTCTTGCCATCTATTGGTTTTCTAGAATTTCCTTCAAAATGTTTTTTTAATTGTTTAAGCTTATTATTATTATTATTATTATTATTATTATTTTGAGAAAGAGCAGGAGGGAGAACAAGAGAGTGTGCACAAGCAGGGGAAGGGCAGAGAGAGAGGGAGAGAGAGAATCCAAAACAGGCTCCACACTGTCAGCACAGAGCCCAATGTGGGGCCTGAACTCACGAACTGTGAGATCATGACTGGAGCTGAAGTCGGACGCTTAACCAACTGAGCCATCCAGGCACCCCCTGAATTTTATTGTTAAAAATATTCTTTGTCTCTATCACACACATGCGCACACACACACTCACACACACACACACACACACACACACACACCATGTATACATATAGATACATACATATATGTAAGTATAATAATACAGATACACGTTTTGAGCATTTGTTCCTCTGAAAATTTTGCTGAAAAGTTTCAATAAATTGAAAGTGCTGTGACATCTGTGATTTGTTCGAGTTGTCATAAAATTTTGTGTCTTTACTCAGTTCGGTAACAAGTAAATCGGTATGCTTCCTGTTATCTTTGCCTTCTTTTTCTACAGAACTCTGAAGATGGAAAGACGTATTTTGTCAAGATCCATGCCCCTTGGGAGGTCCTAGTTACTTATGCTGAAGTGTTGGGAATCAAGATGCCTATTAAGGAGAGCGATATTCCTCTGCCCGAGAATATCCCATTCAGCTGTATGCTTGAGCCTCTGAAGCTCCCAAAGAATGTGAAGCACCCTCATCCTGAATATTTCACTGCCCAATTCACCAGACATCGGCAGGAACTCTTCCTCATTGAAGACAAATCAAGCTTCTTTCCGTCCTCATCAAGAAACAGAATTGTAGGTAGAGAAGACCTTTGAGCACATCCCTTCAAGTGAGGCTTGTGTATCTGCACGTGCTAGTATACATCAATGCTATGTCTGCACCGGGTTTGTGCATACATTTTGATAAGTACTGGGTGCTACTGAGCAGGTTCGAAGGTCCACCTGGACTGCTTAAACCTGTTCACCTACCGACTTCTCAAACTGTTGTTTACACGTGAAAGGGTGACAGTGTGGGCACAGTCAAGACGGATGCTTTGTGCAATATCGGGAAAAGTTCTTAACGAAGAGCCAGAGCTTCGGTTTTATTGGTTCTTTGCAAAATGGTTTTATAATCTTAGAGTGGTTTTATAAATTCAGTACATAGCAGGAGGAATATTGGTCATTCCAAATGGAAATGGAATTTTAAATTTTCTTTGTATATCGATAGCATTTGAGAAACCTCAAAACTTTTTCCTTTCACTTAAAACCATTTTCAATCATGGATAATATTTCCTCCCCATTTGTAGTCAATAAGACCTTTAAGTTTCCTATGAAGAGCCTCTCTGTAAAGAATCATGCTTTCTGAGTCACTGCTTCTTCATGTTAAGATAGGAATAAAGTCTAGGTTTGCCTAGAAAATTAAATGAGTTAAGGTATGAAAGGCTTCGATACCTGGAATATACTAGGTGCTCAGGAAGTGTTAGGTGTTATTATTATTATTGACCTGACTTGAGCGGGGGAAGAAAGTAATGTTCCTTTTTGCTCTGACCCTCCTCCCTGTTGCCTACTAATGTGATCACCAGGGTCTTAATGATCACTTACTGCCTTTCCCAACTTGAGACTTATTTCTTTTAGGTTCAGCACTCTTCAGTGACTAAGGATTTTGAAATCATCATTTTTTGTAGTTTCTCATTTTTTTTTTTAATTCACGGACAGGAATATGACATATAATACAATGCCTAGAATTTGCATATAAAAATATGAACCTACAAACTAAAAATTTTCTCCCTTTTCTTCCCGGCAATAAAAACCCACCACCACCACCACAACTACAACCTAAGGGGCAATCTCTAAAAAGGGAGTAAAGAGCCTATGACATGGAATCAGAAGACCTGGTTTCAAGTCATAACTCTGCTGCTCTCTAAATAAAACAACCTCTCTTTAAACAGAGATAATGATGGTCAACACTGGCATTTCTGTCAAAACCAAATGAAAGAATGTGTGTGAAGCACTCTGCAAATTGTAAAGTACTTTAGATAGACTTACTACGTTAAAAAGTAGCTACCAAAAGGCCGGCGAACCAGACCAAATTAGGAACTAGATTAAGTATAGAAATACTAGTATCCATTTATTTTTACTGCTTCTGTGTAAAGAGTGCCAATACCTTAGATTAATTCAACATTAAAACACAACAATTTTAATAATTTAATAATTTAAAATTTTATATTACATGGGGCACCTGGGTGGCTCAGTCAGTTAAGCATATGACTCTTGATTTCAGCTGAAGTCACAATCTCATGGTTTATGGGATCAAAGCCCTGCATTAGGCTGTGTTGACAGCAAGGAGCCTACTTGGGATTCTCTCCCTTCCTCTCTCTGCCCTTCCCCTGCTCGCTCGCTCTCTCTCTCTCTCAAAATAAAAAAAGATAAACATTAAAAAATATTTATATTACACTATCACTCTTGACAAAAAGATGTACTAATTTAGAGTCCTAGTAACAACAGATGGAGTGCTCAGTGCTCCATAGCATTCTTGACACTAGTATTTACAAAGCTTTCTTTTTCTTTCTTTTGTAATTGTAGCATAACATGAATAGAGATAGGCCCACAAATCATAAATGTACAGCACACTGAAACAACACAAAACAAACACGGCCATGTAACCACCACCCATATCAAGGAGAAGACTTTGCTAGCCCCCCAGAGACCCTGCTGCCTCCTTCCAATCACTATTCCATCATCAGTAGAGGTGGGCTTTAACTTCCAACAGCAAAGATTACACTGTTTTTACACTTCACAAAAACGGAATCATGCCGTATATATTCTTTTTTGAGTATGGCTTCTTTGGCTTAACATTTATTTGTGTGATTAATTTAGCTCTTATATGAGTTATTGTGCATTCATTTTCATTACTTGGTTTTGAAATTTATTTGTGTATGTGTCATGATGGTTGTTTTGTTTTGTTGAGAGAGAGCGAGCGAGCATGTGAGTGGGGGAGAGGAACAGAGGGAGAGAGAATCTTAAGCAGGCTCCACACTCAGTGCAGAACCCAATGCTGTGCTCAATCTCATGTCCCTGAGATCATTACCTGAGCTGACATCAAAAGTCGACGCTCAACCGAGCTACCCAGGCGCCTCCGTCATTATGGTTTTAATTTGCCTTTCACTGATATAAATGGGATTGATTCTCCTTGTATATGTTTATTGCTTATTTAGATATGCGCTTTTATGAAGTCCCTGCTAAAGTCTTTTGTCTGTTTTTCAATTAGGTCTTTTCTTTACTTGTTGATTGGTAGGAATTGTTTATATATTCCTTTTATGAGCCCTTTGTTCATTATATATGTTTACTGATCTTTTCCTACTTCTTGCTTCCTTTTTCTAATGGTTTCTTTTGCTCAACAGATGTTTTTAATTTTAATGTAGTCCAATTCCTTAAGCCTTTACTTTATGAATCATGCTCTTAATCTTTAACTACCACCAAGACCATGAAGTTAATTTCCTATATTATTTTTTTGAAGTTGTATTACTTTACTTTCCCCATTGAGGACTACTGTCCACCTGGAATTAATTTTTGTGCATGGTGCAGTTTTCCCACCATATATGTGGTCATCGGTTTGCAACAATTATTGAAAACATTCAACTTTTCACCATTTTTCACTTTTACCTTTGTCATAACTCATGTATCTATACATTCATAGGCCTACTTCTGGGCCGTGCTCTGCAGCTTTGATCTTTTTCGTCCATTCTTGCATCGATACTGGCAATGTTGAACTTTACTTGAGTTCTGTAGTCATGGAAAACAGGGACAGTTACAGAAATCGCCCACTCTTCTTATTCTGGGAAACTGTAAAGGATCGCCCTTCACCACATGACTTAAAGAATATTCATAGATAACCACCACCTCCATCTCCCAATTTGACTTGAGGGCACCGTTTGCCACATAGTTCATCCTAAATTCTCCTGGTCATTGGTGTGTCCATTTGTGTTAGTTGTCTTTATACCAAGAAAAAAAATTAAGCTTCTCATGTCTCTATGGCAAGCGAGTAGTTACAAGTTGGAGCCAGTTGCCCGGGCTACACTGCCATAGAGACAGGGAGGTAGTGATGCTGTCTTTCTTGATGTTTACATTTAGAAGAGATGGGTCCTAGAAAACTTAAGAAACACACTCCTGCATTGTAAAACTGTCAAGAGGCTTATCTAGTAGATTTTTACAGATTTATATAAATCTCAAAGGGATGGAGAAAAAATTTATAAGTTCTCTAAAGAAATACTCTAAGAAGAGAGAGATGGAGGAAATCCCTTTCCCTTGTGGCTCCAGGGAAATTTAGATTCACACCTAGCCTTATAATTTCTCCCTTTTGTTATTAGTTTATGGTAATAAGAGTCAGACACAGGCCTTCCACATGCCCGCTCTTTGTTGGATAAATGGCTAGCTGAACTATTTATCTGCACTGACCCATCAAAGTATTTGTTAGCTAAACTGACCAAATTTTGATTAAACTTGGCTCCCACAGGACCCTAACCTTTGATGTACCTTTAACCCAAGCCGACACTGGCAGGTGTAACAGTCCTGCCTTAACACAAAGAAAGATGCTCTCTGAAACTGCCTTGCCTCTCCCAAATGAATGAATGAATGAATGAAAAGACCCTTTCTGCCTGACTTTTCAGATGTCTGCAGATATCGCTCTTGCAATAGTTTTCCTCCCCCTCTTGCTTTTTGTTTTTAATGTTTATTTATTTATTTTGAGACAGAGCGCACACATGCATGGTGGGGAAGGGGAGGGGCAGAGTTTGTGTGTGCAAACTACACCACCCCACCTTCTACATCTTCCTTCAGACAACAAAGGGAAGGTTCAGAGCCTGTGTCTACATTCAGACAAAGTTGGACATTGTTAAATTGTGATGGAAACAAAATGTGGAAAGCATAAAGTTCAGAAATGTGTTGTCTAATGCTTACTTCAAATTACGTCATAGGTTTATTATATTCTCTCACGGTGCCCTTTTGGCGTAGAAGAGGGGAAGAAAAAGTTTGGGATTGAAAGACTGCTAACTTCTAATACCTATTCATCTGCCTATCCACTCCATGATGTAAGTATAAGCTTGGTTTTGAAATCCTGAATCCATTTTTCCTCTCCCACATTCAGAGGTTGCCTTGTTGCGAGAGAGAATCTTCCCTTTGCTTCCTCTTTAAGACAGGTTGCTTAATTCTTTCTCATGTTGGGAAAATCCCTCAAACTCCCTAGTTCCAAGCTGAGAACTTTAACAGCTATGCTGAAGCACATAGTTTATACATCTTTACATTGAGGTTTTAATGGAAATTTATTTTAAAAAAATATTACATTTGTGTGTGAATTTTCTTTAGAACTCATATTGAAAATAGTGGTTTTATTAAAAGAACACTACAGAATATGTGGAAATTTCTATCTCCATCAGATCTTTTCTAATTTATAAACTTTTGAATCCATAAAGGACTTGAATTATGTGCATTAATGTGTTCATTTATTAGATACATAATTGATTTTAATGACAGGCATTTTCGTGTGTGTGTGTGTGTGTGTGTGTGTGTGTGTGTGTGTTTACAAATTGAAGGTTTGTGGCAACCCTGTGTTGAAGAAGTCCATTGGTACCATTTTTCCAACAACATTTGTGTATTTCATGTTTCTTATTTATTTAAAAAAAATTTTTTAATGATTATTTATTTTTGAGAGAGTGAGAGAGAGAGACTGAGTGCGAGTGAGGGAGGGGCAGAGAGAGAGGGAGACACAGAATCCAAAGCAGGCTCGAGGCTCTGAGCTGTCCGCACAGAGCTCGATGCAGGGCTTAAACCCACAGACCACGAGATCATGACCTGAGCCGAAGTCGGATGTTTAACCAACTGAGCCACCTAGGTGCCCCTCATGTCTTGTTTTTTTGAGACATGAGTTTTTTGGTTTCCCACTGCATATATAAAATTGTTTACACAATACTGTAGTCTGTTAAGTGCACAATAGCATTATGTCTAAAAAAGAACAATGTACACCTTAATTAAAAAAATAATTTATTGCTAAAAATGCTAACCATCATCTGAGCCTTAGCGAATTATAATCTTGCTGGTGGAGGGTCTTGCTTCTGGACAGCTGGAAACTGATTGCTGAAGATTGGGGTGGCTGTGGCAATTTGTTAAAATAAGACAGTGAAGTTTGCTACATCGATTTGATTCTTTCTTTCACAAATGATTTCTCTGTAAGGTGAGATGCCTTTTAATGAACTGGGTCTCTTCAACAACTGTCAAGCTGATTAAGCAGAATTTTCCTAAATGGGTGACAGGTTTTTATTATTATTATTATTATTTTAATGTTTATTTTTAAGAGAGAGAAAGAGAGACAAAGCGCAAGTGGGGGAGGGGCAGAGAGAGAGGGAGACAGAATCCAAAGCAGGCTCCAGGTTCCAAGCTGTCAGCACAGAGCCTGACATGGGGCCCAAACCCACAAACCGTGAGATCATGACCTGAGCCGAAGTCAGCTGCTTCTCTGACTAAGCCATCCAGGTGCCCTAAATGGGTGGCAGTGTTTAACAGGAGTATCAATTCAGGTGAATTTAATTTAAGTGTTAGAGAAATCATCCTCCTTCCCCAACTCTCCCTCTCCCTGTACACACATTTTTTCCCCCTTGGGCAAAAGAATTTCTAGGTGATTATAGATTCAAAATAATGCCATGGCCATTTAGTAGAGAGAGATATATATGGTGGGTTAATAAAACATTTCACAATGCATTCTCTGTCAGTTTTCACAGAAAAAAAGTCCTTTTGAAGATTTTGAGAATTATTTCTTTTTAGGGCATTCATTCTCTTTTTACTATTACCAGGTCATTAAACCAAACTAATATCCTCAGTCAGCAGCAACTTTAATCCATAAATCAAACCTTCCAGCAAGCAGGGTGCTTTATGATCACTAGAAACCTTAGCTGTTAGAGATAGATGTAACTTACCATTAATTCTACTTTTTTTTCTTTGTTTTCTATCCTGAATGTAAGTTTAGGTGCTAGATTTTCCCTTATGTGCTTTAAAGAATGGTTTTTCAAGATACCCAAATAGGCTGCCTTTTTATTATTTTGTTTCTCAAGATTCAGTAGGATTAGTGACAGAAGAAGAAAACAAGACGGAATCTACGTGATAGAAAATCTTCTATCTTATCACATAGATATTTTCACATGTGCTTAATTTAGATTGGATATTCATTCATGCTGTCTCTAGCAGTTCATTTGTCTGGACCAGCAGTTGAAAGAATGTGTTGAACTGCCATGTGTAGACAGCACTAGTATTCTGCTCTGTTGTGAAGGGGTATTAATAAAGCTATTCAGTAGGTAACAATGGGGAAAATCTTAGGCATGAAACAATACTGAGGTTCTTTGGTGTAAAGTTTATGATACATATTTCAAGTTTTCTGGGAAATGGTGGCAGTGATTGCCAGTGAGGACCAGATGAGTTTTCTGGAGGAGATTCCTGTCATAGCAGGATGACTTTGGATCATTCACTGGACGTTGCTTGGGTCTAATTTTTCTATATGTGAAGTAAAAGTGTTAGCCTATTTCTAATGTCCCAGCCAGTTACGTAGTTATATTAATCCCTGAGCTGTGACTATTCTAGTATAATTTGAGTAAAGAAAGGGCTTTCGACGTGAAAGAGCAGCTTGAGGAAAGCCAAAGGTTCAGACTTTAACTTGTATTTTTAAATAACTGGGTGCGAGAATTTAATGAATCCCTTGTGTCATCGTTTATTGTAGTTTTGGGGAGATAATTGCACATCAATGGGATATGAAATCCAAATCTAAGAGCTAAAGAGAACATTTGCTTCATTCACTAAACTTCCTATAAAACAGTGTTTATTTGCTTCACCCTCATCTTTTGCTCTGTCATTCAAGTACTTTCATTTTGACTATCTGTAGGGTCAATATTGGAAGCCATCAGAACCTCCTAACCCTGTCAACGAGAGGTACACACTTTGCCAGAATTGGGCTCGGTTTTCCTATTTTTACAAGGAGCAGCCTTTAGATTTGATTAGGTAAGTTCCTTGTTAAACACTATCAAACGGATTAAAACTTGATGATGTGATTTTTACTCACAGTGGTATCATATTCCATTCTTTTCACCACTGTTTTCACCCACCACATGTCACATGTCCCCAGTTTTGTACCCACACTATCACTTAGTCATTCATTTGTGAGCAGAATGCTGTCGGTGGAATGCGCTTCATCACCATACAGAAGTAGCTCAGTAGTTCAGAGGTTGGGCCTTGGTGTGTAGGGTGGGCTGGGTTCAGATCCAAGTTGGTCAAATTATTTAACTTCTGTGAGGCTCATCAGTAAAATGGGAATAACAGTGGTGCTTTCCTTATGAGGCTACTTAATAAAATGAGATAATGTATATTTTTTAGCACAGGGGTAGCACTTAGTGCTTAATACGTATTAGCTTTGTTTTGTTTTGTTTTGTTTTTCTCTGAATTCAGGAATTTAGAAGATAGCAGAAAGGTTGTGTATGGACGTCTGTGTGTGTGTGCATGTATAGATCTCAGAGATCTGGGAAGGCGTTTGTCCTGTGACCTCCATTCTTTAGACAGTTTCATTGGCTAAGCAAGAAGACTGCAGTAGCAAGTTCCTGCTTTGCACCATAACAATACTACATACATACAGGATGTTAGGAGACTCCTGCTATGATTTCAGTAAAGGAACGATCAGATTAGACCCCTGGTTGTTACAGACCCTGTTTTTTACTCAGTGATTTATATTTGTAGTACTGTGTTTGCACAACATCACAGTATCCTTTTTATGAGACTGATTTGGATGCATACATCCAAACAGGTGAACGATTGTCTCAACAGGTTTGTTTAAGGCAAATAAGAAGGGAAATTTTTAAGAATAAATGAAAGGCAGATAGCATATATAAGCTGGTACTTTTGGTAAATCATTGTCTGAACTCTTTATTCGATGGATGTTTTAATTGTTTTGAATAATGGTCATTTCATTTTTTAAATGATGAAAGTAGTACACGTTTATCAAAAATTCAAATAATAAACAGATGTGCAAACCTTTTTTTTTTAAGTTTAATTTTGAGAGACCGTGCAGGCAGATGTGTGCGAGCATAAGCAGGGTAGTTTCAGGGAGAGAGGCAGAGAGAAAATCCCAAGCAGGCTCTGCACTGCCAGCACAGAGCTCCATGCAGGGCTCAAGCCCACGAACTGCGAGATCATGATGTGAACCAAAACCAAGAGTCAGATTCTCAATTGACTGAGCCACCCAGGCACCCCAAGATGTGCAGAGTTTTAAGTGAAATTCTACCTCTATTGAACTTTGCAGAAGTGACTGCTGTTGATTTGGTATATCCATTCAGTTCTATTTTTATGTGCATAATAAAATGCATACACAATCATATTTTTTCCTTAGAAAAAACAATGACATCTTTATTTACCTTTCAGCTGCAATTTTCTGTTTGCACTAAATATTATTAGTACTCCTCCTATGAATACACACAGTTCTATCTCATGCTTTTTAAGAGAACACAGAGTGCCATATTGTAAATTTTGCATAATTCATTTATCTGGTTTTTTATTGAAAAACAGGTTGTCCCAGATTTTTCACTGTTACAAAGGTGTTGCTGAGAACAGTTTGCAGACATTGTGCCCTTGGAGGATGTTTTCATAGCATATTTTCAAAGAAGCAAAGTCATCAGAATGAAGGTTTACATAGTTTTACATTGTTCAAAATATATTTAAAATATGTATTCATTTGACATTTTAAAACTATCAACAGGTGTTTCTGCTATGAGTATTCCCCAAAGGTTTGTATTTATAACCCTAGATACACACAAACACATTACATCTTGGGTCAGTGCCAATGTAGCTGTAATACTTCGTTAGCCCTTGCTAATTTCCTTTTACAACAAAGTGGAAGCTCAAGTATTTAATCAGATGACAGTGTCTAGCTGAAATTTAAGAACTTTTATGTTTTTCATTTTCTTATAATAACTTATAATTTATAGCAAGTTATACTGCCTTTTCTGATTCAATAGTGAAATAGTATTTTTATTTATTTATTTAAAAAATTTTTATTGTTTATTTAATTTTGAGAGAGAGAGAGACAGAGCAGGTTTGGGAAAGGGGCAGAGAGAGAGGGAGATACAGAATCCGAAGCAGGCTCCACGCTCTGAGCTGTCAGCCCAGAGCCCAAAACGGGGTTTGAACTCAGGAGCAGTGAAATCATGACCTGAGCCGAAGTCGGCCACATGCAAAACATGAATCTTGATCCTTTCCTATACAGAAATTTAAACTAACTTGAATGGATCAGGGAACTTAGTGTAAGGGCTAAAAATACAAAACTTCTAGAAAAATATTTAGGAGAAAAACTCATATGGCCTGAGATTAGGCATGGACTTTTCACAATAGACATAAAAAGCCCAATTTAAAAATTCATAAATTGGATTTAATTAACATTGAAAATGTCTGCTCTCTAAAAGACACCGTTCTAAAAATAAAAAGGCAGGGGCGCCTGGGTGGCTCAGTCGGTTGAGCGTCCGACTTCGGCTCAGGTCACGATCTCGTGGTCCATGAGTTCGAGCCCCGCATCAGGCTCTGGGCTGATGGCTCAGAGCCTGGAGCCTGCTTCCGATTCTGTGTCTCCCTCTCTTTCTGCCCCTCCCCCGTTCATGCTCTGTCTCTCTCTGTCTTAAAAATAAATAAATGTTAAAAAAAAAATTTTTTTTTTAAATAAATAAATAAAAATGCAAACCACAGACTGGAGAAAATACTTGCAACACACCTATCAGTAAAGGACATCTAGAATATTGAAGGAACTCTTAGAATTCAATAATGAGACAAAATCTTTAAAAATGGACAAAAGATTATAACAGATACTGCACCAAAGAAAGATATTTATGGATGGCCAATTAGTACATCAAAAGATGCATAACATCTGTATTCACTAGAGGAATAAGAGTTAAAATGTTTGCCATTGAGATACCACCACACCACCCACTATAATAGCTAAAATCTAAAAGATTGGCAACAAAAAGAACTGACGGGTGTGGAACAACTTGAAGACTCAAAGTGCTGCTAGAATGCCAAATGGAGTAGCAACTGTATAAAAAAATTTGACACTTTCTCATCAAGTTAAATACACACTTTGTGTATGACCAGGCAATTCCGCTACTAAGTCTTTGCCCACGACAAATGGAGCGTATATGTCCACAGAAACACCACCGATTGAATGTTTATAGCAGATTATTGCACAGTAAGAAAAAACTGGAAACAACCAAAGGCCCGCCAATGGGTAAATGGATAAACAAATTATCATATATTCATACAATGGTTTTTTGTTTTTTTGTTTTTTTTCCTCTGAGAGAAATTACAGATAGATGCAACATCAAAGGATGAATCTTAAAAGCATTACGCTAAGGAAAAGAAGCAGGCCATGGAAGGCTGCATAGTCTTAGGTTTCCATTTATAAAACATTCTGGAAGAGGCAAAACTATAGGGACCTAAATGAAAGTAGTGGTTGCCCAGATCTGGGGTTTGGGGAAAGGGTTAACTGCAAAGGACCCTAAGGGAACCTTAGGTTCCATCATCTGAGATGATGGAAAACGCTCTATGTGTTGACTCCGGTAGTGGTTACCTGAGCGCATGCGTCTGAACTTACCAAATTATGCACTTAGGTGTACGCACCCCAATCAATTTGATTAAAAAACAAAAAGAAAGAAACACCACTCCTCTTAAAGGATTAACTTTCTGGGATAGAGGGTGAGCTAGGGTTTGGTGGATTCCTCCTTGGAGAGATGAGCACCGTTGGCCTGGAGGAGCTGGAGTCCTTACACAGTGGCCTGGAAACGGTGTTGGACACTGACCCCCAAAGATATTCCCAGTATATGTGAGACATATCTGGGGGACTCCGTGGACGCCGGAAAGGAAATGACGCGGGAGACGGGGGGCCAAGGCCTGCATTTGTACAGGTAGGAAGTGGCAGTTGAATAGTGGATTCATCAACGAACGCGACGTGATCTCATTGATACGGTGTACCAGTCCTTAAGCTGTGGTTCCTCAGCTGCTTCATGAAATTGAGGCTGGAACTCTCAAAATCACGAGTATGCGTTGCCACTTGGCTCACTGGGACTCTGCCAGCAGGAAGCACTGGAGGAGGAAACAAGGATCTGTTTCTGTTGTTTTTTGTGGGTTTCCCGTTTGCTTCCTGTGAGCGAGCGATTCCCCAACAACGCTCCTAGTCCAGGATGGGGCAGTGCCTTCCTGTTGCTGAGGCTGCACGTCGCATACAGTTTTCCCGACCCTTGCAGACCCGACCCGGTCTGACCTGCTCTGAGGTCCCAGCACGAGCCTGCCAGGACCTCCTTCTCAGAGACCTGGGTCCCAGCCCCACTGGCCCCCTCCCGTGACTTTAGAGACACCAACAGCCGGCTATGAACAGCTTCTTCTGAGATGACATTCAGCTCCGTGGAGCCCCGGGTTGTTTATGACAACTTTGGTCATCCAAAGTGTGATCCTGTTTCTCAACTCTATAGTTTATGTTTTCTTCCTTGCTTCTAATAAGTCCCTCATTTTTTATATGAATTTTGACTATCCAGCTACAAATCTTGTTTGATTTCTCCACTGTTTTCACTCTGCTTAGTAATAAACAATCTGTGGGGAAGTTCGGCTACTCATTAAAATTTCTCCCTAGACACAGCATATAGAATGGTTCTCACCTGAACCAATATTCACTGTTTTGGTTGCAACGTGAATTTCCAACTGTATTATTCCTTCCTTGTTTAATTGTTGTCACTCAGCATCCTTTTACCCAACTTCCATCAGGAGCCCTGGGAGCTGGATCCTATGTCTTTATAACATTGCTCCTTTTTCCTCGCCAGAACTCTACCCCACTCACTTCACACGTAAAATTTATTTCAGTTTGTTTTCAGTTTTAGTGAAAACCCAGGGAAGTGGCACTCTATCCCTGATCCCTTTCATCCCATTCCTTGCCCTCTTTTCTTATATATTATCCCTTATAACTGGCCAACTTCTCC